TATATATATATATATATATATATATATATATGATGACAACAAGGCACACGGACATAGAGTAAAGTACACTTGCTGTTGTTCTCCATCGAAGCTCTATTGGACAGGGTCTATGCCTAACAGAAGGCAAAGCGAATGTTGCTTCGTATCTTTGCCTTTTTTTGTTTTTTAGCTTTAAACAAAAAGGGCTGCGCGGAATGGGGCAACATCCGACACAGGAAACAAAAGAATATAGACAAATGCGGTGGACCGGGTCGCAGTTGACCTGTCATGCGTAGCCGTGCAAAATCTAAAGGGAGGAAGAGACGAAACCAGAAGCACTTGCGTGCACACGACAGTGACCCACCCACCGCCACAAAAATCGACGGTGAAGAAGCGATGAAGGTGGAAACAAGAAGGCGCACGCGTCGGGCTCTCTCCCTCGCCCTCTCTCAGAGAAATCGAGCCAACAACAACAGCAGAACAATAAGAACAAAAACGAAAATGAGCAGCGGCCAGCTAATTCGTGATCAGCCGCAAAGGACGATAATCAAGGCGGGTCGTCTCAACCGCACTCAACAGAGGCAACGACGTAAAACAAATTTCTCCGGCAAAGAAAAAAGAAACACGATGATCTGAGAAGGTACACGGTCTATTACAGCGCCTTCAAAGAACAACGACAAGCAGTTCACTCCGCATACACGTAGAAAACAAAAAAAAACATATAGGGTTTTTTTGTGGATTCCAACGGAGCCTAGAAAAAAAACCAAAGAGAAGAAGAGAAAAGAAAATCGGGCAACTATGAAAGGATGACAAGCGCAGCAACACAGAATGTACCCTTGCACAGGTATACACGCTGGCGCACACACACACACACATACATGCCAAGACGCGAACGCATTGCAGACGATGAAGTGCACGCAAGGGGCGCCTGGATCAAAAAACACTCATCTCTAATAAACTACAACTGCAGACATCGTTCTTGGCGCGACTCATGTAAAATGGCGAAAACAGGAGGTAAAAACAACAATACGAAGAGAGGTTTTAAAACCAATTCAGCTTCAGTGGAACGACGACCAGTAAAAACAAGGAAAACAGCCAAACCAATATACGAACGGACACCCTTTAAAGGAAAAAAAAAATAACTGCACGAACAACGGGTGAAGAAAACAACGACCTGCATTCAAATAGAGAGACGGCGTGCGACGACGGATCAAAGAACAACAGTGGAAGAGGGGAGAAGGAATACAAGGAAAGATGAACCTCCCCGGTGTGAATACGACACCACACCGCACAGTTTTCAATGCTGCTATTTGCACGGCTAGTGCTGTTGAGCCTCCGGGCTTTGCATCGAGATCAGCTCCGACGGTGGCGATCCCTGCGAGGAGCCGTTGTCGCTGCTGGTCAGTCCCTTCGTCCGCCCACCAATGCGCTCCTTCACGTCCCTTTCAAACCGCTTTAAGGTGCGGTGCTGTTCATCATTCGCGCGGCGGGCCTTCGAAATGATCTGACCAATGCGTGCGGCCTGGAGCTTCTCCTTCTCGTCCAGTTCCTGGAACTTCTGATCGTAGTTTTCACGCTCCATAAAGGCCATATCGCGAATCTTCTGACGGAAGCTCATGTAGTCCTTATCGTACACCAACCCCCGCAGCTTGTGCAGATCGGCCTCGAGTGTGGACGACTTGTTCTCCCAATCCGCCAGCACCGCGTTGCTCACCGCAATCAGCTGCTCCTGCTGCAGCATCAAATCGCGAATCTGATCCTGGTACTCCTTCTCCATTTTGTTCTTCTCGTCGTTCAGCTTGTCCAAGGCACGCTTGCTATCCTCCACCTCGTTGCGCACCAGTCGCATCTGACGGTCCTTCTCCATGAGATCCGACTCGCGACGCAGACGCTCATTCTCTAACTGATTTTGCAGCCGTGACACATCCACATCTTTGCTGCGCTTCAGGCGGTCCACCTCCTCATTCATGCGCGCCGTATCACGGTTGTGGGCGTCCTGCAGCTGCCGCATCGCATCGGAGTTCTTCTGCCGTTCGCCAACGTCGCCCTCCACGTGCGCGCGCAGCTTCTCCACGTCCTGCTGGTACTCAAGTCGCATGCGCTCCTGCGCGTCTAACAACTTCTGGCGGAACAGCTCGTTTTCCTCGTCGCTGCGCTTGCGCTCCTGCTCGTTCAGCTCCCGTGTGCGCTGCAGGCGGCCCTCCAGCTGGGCGATGGCGTCCTTGTGCCGGTCCAGGAGCTGCTGCTGCTGCGCGGCGCTGTCGTCCAGAGTGTCTTTCAGGCGAGCACGGAAGCGATCCGCCTGCGCGGCGAGCTCCTCGTCGTGGCGCCTCTTTAGCTCCGCGAGATCCTCTTCACGCTCCGTGTTCATGCGAGCGATGAGAGCCGACGACTCGGTGCTGGTGGAGGAGAGGGCGTTGCCGCAGGCCCGCAGCAGCAGGTTCTCCTTGTCCTCGACGAGCTCCATGACCGCATCAACACTGTCGAAGTACTGCCAGAGGCGCTTGTACAACATCACCTGCGTGGTGAGTGCGTGGAGGCGGGAGTCCTGCCGCTCCAACTTCTCCTTCATCGCCTTCAGCCGCTCTGGTTCGATCGTGTTCGCGCGACGCTCCAGCTCCGCCTTCAGCTCTGCGATCGTCATCTGCGCCTTCTCCAGCTGCTTCTTCATCGCCTCCTCCGCCTTCGCCTTTTGCTGATCCATCTTGGCCTTGTTCTCCGGGTCTAAGAAGCCCTCCTGCGCGGTGGGGTCGGTAATACCGGCGTACTCCAGCTCCGCCCGCAACGCCGCAACGATGCGCTCCTGCTCCGCGCACTTCTTCTCCAGCTCCTTCACACGCTTCTCCAGCCCCCGCACGTACTCGTTCGTGTAGTTGCTGCCACCGGCTTCCTTCAGACGCAGCTCCAGGTTCGCCACCTTGTCGCGCAACTCGCGGATCATCACCACTTGTGGGTCCTCGTTCTTCTTCACCCAATTGATGATGTTCTTCGCACGCGACGCATAACGAATCGTCTGGCGCATCTCCTCGTAGTTGATCACGTGGGGCGAGATGGTCGCAATCATCGAGGTCTGACTGTTGCCGCCAATGGAGTCGCTCAGCACCCAGGTCAAGTTGGAGTCGCGATACGGGACCGGGAGACCACCCCCCTTGTTTTGCGACAGATCCGCCAGGCGGTCAATCACACGGCCCAGCACCGTCAGCGACTGGTTGATCTTCACGCCATCATGGAATTCGTCGCCCTCCGCACCAGCCGCTCCAGTGCGCTCAGAGCCCGCGAGATCCACCAGATTCAGCTTGCTGCGCATCTGGAATGCGTTGTCCGACTCGTCCATCGAGAGCTGCACGATGTTGAAGCTGAGAATGGCATGACTGCGGCTGCTGCGGTCGTTAAACTTCGTTGCGGCCGTGTGGCGCTCTTGCATACCCTTGCGGATCACACGCGCCACGTCCTCCTCCTTGTTCACTAGCTTCCACGTCAAACCCTCCACAAAAGGACCGGAGTTCGGCGTGTTGCGGATCCTCAAGTCCGTGTTGCGCTGCGGCCGAATCAAGTCGAACACCTTCTCGTTGTAGATTTCGTAGTAGGACACCTCCACGCGGTAGGTGAAGTCGGAGTCCTTCTCACGCTTCACGTGCAGACCGTCAAAGAGGTCGGCGCAGGAGCGGGGGATGATCCCCTGCAGCTCGTTCGGGTCCAACCCCGTCTTGTCCACCACGTCATCGCCGTCGTCGCTCTCAAAGGGGTCGCAATTGTTGTATGCCGTAGAGGCGTCGTCGGGGGCAATTGAGGTGGAGGTGGTCATGGATTCGCGGCGTGCGCGGATGTCGCTGCGGCTCGGTGCGTAGCCCAGCATGGTGAAGGTCTTGCCACTACCTGTCTGGCCGTAGGCGAAGATGCAGCCGTTATAGCCGTCCAGCGTGTTGTCGACGATGGGTTTGCCGACGTGGTTGTACACCTCGTCCTGGCCCGCGTAGGGCGGGTGGCTCACGTTAGCGTCCACCATGACCGGGGCTGAGCCGGCGCCTTCGTAGGCCGGCGCTTCGGTTTGCTCCTGCCCGTCCGTCTCCAAGCTTAGTCGTGAGGCTCGACGCGCCGACAGCGGCACACCCGGCTGCCCGACGATGGACTGCGCCCGCGAGCGACGGGCTGAGTTCATGCCACCGTTCAGGAAGGTGTCGACCCCAGCGCGTATCTCCACCTGTGAATTCTCCGCCCCGTTCTTCGACGTCTCAAATACGGACCAGAAGCAGCGGTTGAAGATGTGGGTGGAGAGCGGGCGGAAGCCACGCGACGGCTCGAGGATGGTGATGACCGACGGGTTCTCTGCATCGATGCGAATGGTGCTGTGGTCTGTCGTCTTCTGCGCAATCTCACGCTCGCTGAAGGGGCGGACACGGATGTAAACCTTCATGGCATTCGCCTTGGTCGCTGCCGGGGTCTCGTAGCCCTCAACGCGGACCCGGCGTGGGCTGACGGAGACGTCGCTGCGGTAGCGCGTCGGTGTTACGCTGCCCGATTCACTGCGCTGACTGCGCGGGATGGAGACGGGGGCAGCGAGGCGGGAAACCCGTGCCGAGATGCTCCGACGACGGCCCGAGGAGGGCTCATCAGCGATGCTGCCGCGCCTCGCCGACCCGCGTGCAGAGAGAGGAGTCAACATCACGAAAGAAAAAAGAATTGCGGCAGCAGGTCCTTTTTGTGTGGTTTGCCTTTGTTATTCTACTGTTCGTTTGAAGCCAAATACAAACTTCGTCTCTTCTCGACTTGCTGCAACGAGGAAGGGTGAGAGGAGCGAAGGGAGGGGGGAGGGGGAGAGGGAGAAAAATAGCGTGGACTCACTCACGCCCACCGCAAGATTCGCCAAGTCACTCTTTGCACGCGCACGCACGGTCGCCGTTGAAGTAGACGGGGAGGGGGGGGGGAAGCAATCAATATGGTAGGCTTAAATTAGGAGAGAAGGCAGTTGAAAAAGAGGTAAAGATCAAGAAGAAGCGCCTGTGTGCGGACGACGAGACGCTCTTCTTGTCTGCTGTTGATGTTTTGGGGGTTAAAACTGAAGGTCCTATAAATTGGCGGACAAACGGAAAGCTTCCTGCCTTGGGTTTCTCTCTTCGGTGTCTAGAGCAGTACGTGTGCACATATGTGTGTGTGTATGGGAAAAAAGAGTGCGATCTGTTTGCTGTCGAGGCAGGGGCTAAAACAACCAGAAATACAAACAAAACGGTGAAATTTGGAGAGAGAGAGAGAGAGAGTTGTCGAGACAGACGCGCACCTACGTCCACAATACCAACGTATAGAAACGACTTCGGGAGGAGGAAGAAAGAAAGAGAGGTAGGTTATTGGGTAAAGCAAGGTTTCGTCCACTAAATGAAAACAAAAACAAAGAATCAAAAACACGAATAAAAAGCACCAATGAGGAAAGCAGATTCAGTTCTACCGTGCTGCGGCAGGTTCAAATACCAACGCACACGCAACACGAAGTGGCGAGGAGAGGCGAGATGATCTGCCACAGATGGCGCAAAGGGAAAGGATTGCGACGTAGTGTGCGGAGCTGTTTTGAAGGAATACGCCGGTGGACGGGAGAAATGCTCTGCGCTGACACTTTTCAGGGGAAGAGATACGTTGATGATGAAGAGCGCGAGAAGTTCAGCCAGTCCGTTATTGTTGGCCGGCGCGGAGATCAAGAAAACAACAGCAAAAGAGGGAAATAGAAGAGTGGGAATAATCATTCTTTAAAGGCCAGATGCAACGCTAAAAAAAAGGAAGGGGGATTGCCGCGTGATGAAAGGAACTGCAGCGTATGTCTCTAGTGCCAACATAAGCGGCAGTGCCTCGCTTTTTCTTCCGTTCTTTTGCTGCCCGTAACCAACTCGTTTGATATACCTGCTCATGCGAAGCAGGTGTCGTGAGCCTCACTCACCCTTTCGAGGCTGATGAGACGCGGTTAACAGAAAAAAAGAAACGCTGTAGAGCACCAGTTTAGCTGAAGAAGCAGTTCCGGTCGCCTAGGTGCTTGTGAGCTTTCTTTATTTCGTGTGTGTGGGGAGGGAGGATGGGAGGATCTGTACCCCACGAGAGAATCTGAGATTTACTGTGTTCGTCTTTCCGTCGTATTGGATGATCTTGAACTCTTCACAAACGCACCGAAACAAAATGGTACACGTGAAAGCCACAACAGCTACAACAACATTAATAATAAATAACGAAAGAGCACTGTAACTTTCTTATTGAAGAGATACTAACAGCCAAAGGGAAACAGGATGGCAGAGACGACAAAAAGAAATGAGAGACGATGTTGGAAACACAGGAGATTTCGTCACTGGCATACAGAAGTGAAGCAGCAAAACACGGAATACAGATGTCTAAATACCTCGAATCTCTATCGAGTGTGTGTGTGTGTGTGGAGGATTCCAAGACACATGTCCTTTGCAAATAGAAGGGGAAAGCCAGAAAAAGCCTTTTCCACAAACCACAACTGCAAAGCCATCGGATGTCTATCTCACAACAGCTTCTTGCAGTCTGCGCCGTTGTCCTTTGACAGCAACCGTTCACACGCCAGAGTTTGTGAGCCCACCTCTTTCTCCCTCATGTGTCTCCCACAACAACAGCTATGACCAGACTCCAAGAAAGCAAGTGTGATGGTGGCGTGAGAAACTCCTTTCAACCGGCATGACTTGGGGAGGCGTAAGAGACAGAGAAACACACACACACACACACAAGATATGAACCGGACAGTGAAACGGAGTACAAAAGCTATTGCGTAGGTGAGGAGCAAAGAAGCGCCGCGAGAGGAAGAAGAAGAAGGAAAGCAAACGAAGGTCATCATCATCATCAACAACATAAAGCGAACTCCCAGAGTTACGTGCTGTGGAGCACAAAACATCACTCTGGGGAAAATACAGGGGATGCGAGCGGCTCAACAAGCAAATCAAAAACCATGATGTGGAGTGAAAAAGAAGCAGAAGAGAGTAACCGATGCCATGGACCTCCTGTTGTTTATCTTAAAACCCCAAGGATGCGAACAGGCGCCGCAACAACAACAAAAGAAGAACGACGAGACAAAAGAAGATTTAAAATTAAAAAAAAAGAAAGCAAGAAGGCGGAAAAACTATAAAAAACGAAAGCAAACAAAGTGACTTAGTGGCAGCCTTCTCTTAGGTCGATACGTTGGGTCCCGTTGACCGCGTGCCTTTAAATGCACCTCACAGAATCAAGCTTCCCGTGACAGCGTAGAAATAAGTCCAGCGGCACCTGAACGGATTGGGATGCAAAACGAAGAAAACAAAAGAACAACAACAAACAAAAGAGCAAAGAGCTGAAAAAGTGCGTCTCCGAACAGATACAGCAATGGAAAAGCAAACAGCCGCCATAACAAAAAAGAAAACCAATTCGAAAGTGTCAAGAGGAGTCTTCTCTTGTGCTGTGAAAGAGAAACGCAACTGGTAGCTTGAACAGGGGAGAGTGAAGACGAGCATCCAAAGACTGAGGCAGAGGGGGGTGAGGGAGCCACCCCAACGGTATCAGCAACAATAGGAAATTGCCTTTTCTGTTGTCGTTGTTTTTGCTGTCTATTGACAAAGAAAAAATTATTGTATGCGATTTCATCTGCCGGTTAAACTGAGAAAGTGCCGACCCTGTACGAGTATTTCGAGCAGCGGCATCTGCTCTGCCCCGCTTCCTTGTTTCCGTTCGTCAACAGTGACACCCTGTTTGCATGCAGCCTACCAGATGCCTCTACCTTTCTCTTGCACACCAGTGGCAATAAAAGCGCATATTCGTGGCCATTTACAGCAGCCAAACGGAGAAGGAAGGGGAGGGAGGAAAGCGAAGCGAAAACAATAAAAAGGAAGATGTGAGAAGGATAAATAACGCTGTTTGTGATTTTTTGAGAGGAAACAACAACAGAAACGACAATAAGAGAGCGAGTAAACGATAAAAGAAGTTTCTAACGATTGTGCTTTCATCTTCTCGTTTCCAACTAGACGAGTCGCAGGTGACCCAACTCAAACAGGTTTGCGGGCTACGAAGTTGCATGCGTATCACTGCCTCAAGCAGAGAGGACCGAAAGAAAGAAAGAAAGATAATAAAAAAACTGCCTTGATATCATGGAACGGTAAAGTCAATCGATGAGCGTTTCGGTGTACAATACTTTCTCCTTTCCAGATGCTCTCCTGTTCTCCTTTCTTTCGATAAGCACTGCAGGCTCTGTTTTGTTGTTGTTGCTGTGCAGCCACATTTCCGCACCCGTCGTGAAGGAAGGGGGAAAACACACAACAACACAGTAGCAAGTAAGTAAATAACAGTAGAGGAGAAGAGAAGGAGGGGGAGGGGAAGAGAAGAGAGCAAATCCAAATAAACGATGTTCAGCAGCGGAACCGGAAAGAGAACAGTTTGCGGATTTTTTATTCAATCAATTGGGAGGAAATAATAAGAATAACAATAATGAGCAGAAATGTAGAACAGGCCACAAAGCACGCACCTTCTGTTTCCTGCGCAATGCGGGTGGTGGATCTACGCCGAAACGCGATCCCCAGCAAAAGCTTCCCGCGCACAGCAACGAGAGGAGCAGCAAAAGAGAGATGCTACATGCAACCCCTACCACAGTAAGACAGCCACCTTGTCAGAATCGCGGGTTTTTGCGAGACCTTTTAAGCACAAATATCTCTGATTCCCGTGCAGGCTTTGCTTTTAAACAGGAAGCACACAGAGAGACCCAACGAGCCATCAAGAGCAACTGTTTGCCTCGTGTTGTGTTGGGCGAGTAAACTTGAATACGACGGAGTACCCATCAGGGAAAAAGAAAGTTGCTACGCTGTGTTAGGTGCCCCCGTTGTCGCAGCGCCGTTACCATCACTGCCACCTTCCTTTGGTTCCGCACCGTCTGATTGAAAGCCGCGACTGCGCGTCAGCTGCTCGTACACGTCCTGCTTCACACGCTGCATACTCGCCTGATGGGCGTCGCGCGTCCTGCGCATGTTCTCAATCGCGCTGCGAATATCCGCGACATCATGCGTCTTCTTCTCATCTCCCACTTCGGCGGTGTCCGGCGTGGCGTCCGTCCTCCTTGTCGTCGTTGTTGTCGGGTTGCGGCGCTGGCTTAAATCCCGGTAGGCGAGCTCCTTCGCCTTGGCGCGGAAGGCGGCGTAGTCCTGGTCGTTGACGAACGCCCGCAGGAGTTCGATGTCGCGATCGAGGCTTTCCGGCGCCTTCTCGTAGTTATTCACGATGGTGCACGCCACGGCGATCATGTTTTCCTGCCTCACGAGGAGATCCTTGATCTCCGCGTTGAGCTGCTTCTCCCTGGCACGCGTGTCCGTCTGCAGCTTCAGGTTGTCGCGGCGCAGCTTGGCGCCCTCCTCCTCGCTGCGACGGGCCTGGGCAACGCGGCTCGTCAGCTGCTCCTCCTTCCGTGCTAGCTCCGTGCTCAGCTGCTTCTTCACCCGCGCCAGCTCATTCTCGTGGCGCGTACGTTCCCGCTCCATGTCGTCCGTGATGCTCTTCACATACGCCTCGTGGCTTTCTTGCAGCTCCTGCAGCGACGTCGTGTTGCGCTGGCGCTCGGTGGTGTTCGAGGTCAGCGACTCCCGCAACCGCTTGAGGTCCTCCTGATACTCGGCGCGCATGTTTGCAAACTTCTCCTCGTAGGCGAGTTTCATGTTCTCGTTCTCCTGGGCCCAGCGGCGCTTCTCCATGTCGTACGAGTCACGTGCCGCCTGGTTGCGCAGTTCCGACACGGAAGACACCTCGCGCTGCCGTTTGAGGCGCTCATCCTCCTTGGCGGCGTACTCCTTCTTAACCTTGTCGAGTGAGTCCCGGTACTGCGTGACGAGGGCGGACACCTCCTCGTTGTGCTGCCGCTGAATCGTCGCCGCCGCCCGCAGCTGCTCGCTCTCGCCGCGGTTCAGCGTGTCCATCACCCAGGCATCCTTGTTCATCATCATCTCCTGGCACTGGCGCACCAAGGCGTTCATTTTGTCCTCGAAGGTGCTGAAGACGACGTCGGTCGTCCAGCGCCATTGGAAGGTGCCGTACGAGTTCAGGTGCGCGTCGTAGTCACGCAGCGTACTGCGCCACCCGTCGACCTCCCTCTGCAGGCGCGCTATCTTCTCATCTGCATCGGCCTGCTGCCCAACCGGCACCTTCCTCTCCGACTCCAACAGCTCCTTCTGCAGGCGCACAATCTCCTTGTTGGCGGACTGCAACTCCGACTGCAGCTGCTCGTTGTTGCGGCGGTACGTCGCTGCGTTCACCGTGCCCGACCGGCCATCGCCGTCGCCTGCGCCGGCAGCGCTGAGTCCGTTCTCGCCCCTGCCCACCAGAGTCGGGTCGGCGATACCGGCGCTCTCCAGTTCGGCGCGCAGCTGACTAATCGTACGCTCCTGGTCGGCACACTTCCATTCCAGCTCCTTCACGCGCTTCTCCAGCCCCCGCACGTACTCGTTCGTGTAGTTGCTGCCACCGGCTTCCTTCAGACGCAGCTGCAAGTCGGCGATCTGCGCGCGTAGCTCGCGGAGCTGCATGATCATCGGGTCCACGTTGCGGTGTACCTCGTTCACCACCTGCTGGGCACGGGAGGCGTAAAGAATCGTCTGGCGCATCTCCTCGTAGTTGATCACGTGGGGCGAGATGGTCGCAATCATCGAGGTCTGACTGTTGCCGCCAATGGAGTCGCTCAGTACCCAGGTCAGCTTCGACTCACGGTAAGGTACGGCGAGGCGGGCGGCCTTATTCTTCGAGAGATCCGCCAGGCGGTCAATCACACGGCCCAGCACCGTCAGCGACTGGTTGATCTTCACGCCATCATGGAATTCGTCGCCCTCCGCACCAGCCGCTCCAGTGCGCTCAGAGCCCGCGAGATCCACCAGATTCAGCTTGCTGCGCATCTGGAATGCGTTGTCCGACTCGTCCATCGAGAGCTGCACGATGTTGAAGCTGAGAATGGCATGACTGCGGCTGCTGCGGTCGTTAAACTTCGTTGCGGCCGTGTGGCGCTCTTGCATACCCTTGCGGATCACACGCGCCACGTCCTCCTCTTTGTTCACCATCTTGGAAGCCAGGTCCTCAATGAACGGTCCTGTGGGTCCGTGACGCACCTTCAAGTCCGTCCCCGTTTGCGGCCGAATCAAGTCGAACACCTTCTCGTTGTAGATTTCGTAGTAGGACACCTCCACGCGGTAGGTGAAGTCGGAGTCCTTCTCACGCTTCACGTGCAGACCGTCAAAGAGGTCGGCGCAGGAGCGGGGGATGATCCCCTGCAGCTCGTTCGGGTCCAACCCCGTCTTGTCCACCACGTCATCGCCGTCGTCGCTCTCAAAGGGGTCGCAATTGTTGTATGCCGTAGAGGCGTCGTCGGGGGCAATTGAGGTGGAGGTGGTCATGGATTCGCGGCGTGCGCGGATGTCGCTGCGGCTCGGTGCGTAGCCCAGCATGGTGAAGGTCTTGCCACTACCTGTCTGGCCGTAGGCGAAGATGCAGCCGTTATAGCCGTCCAGCGTGTTGTCGACGATGGGTTTGCCGACGTGGTTGTACACCTCGTCCTGGCCCGCGTAGGGCGGGTGGCTCACGTTAGCGTCCACCATGACCGGGGCTGAGCCGGCGCCTTCGTATCCGAGGGGAGAGGCTGCTGCAACGTCGGCTTCCGGGCCGACACGGCTGGGACGCCTCACCGAGTTCGGCACACCCGGCTGCCCGACGATGGACTGCGCCCGCGAGCGACGGGCTGAGTTCATGCCACCGATGAGGTACGTGTCCACCTTGTCCAGTAACGCGCTCTCCCCCGTCTCGAAGACGGACCAGAAGCAGCGGGTGAAGGGGTGGGTGGTGAGTGGGCGGAAGCCACGCGACGGCTCGAGGATGGTGAGCTGCGCTGGGTTGTGCGGGTCAACGCGCACGGTGCTATGCGTTGGCACCCTCTGAGAAATCTCACGCTCGCTGAAGGGGCGGACACGGACGTAAACCTTCATGGCATTCCACTGCGTCTGCGTCAAAGGGGTCACTGTGTCAGAGCTCGTACTGACGTTCGCGCGTGTGCGGCGGGCGCTGGCGAGGGTAGAGGCGGTGCGATGCTCGCGTGTCGGCGTCGCGTGGACGGAGCGGACAGCGAAGGATGACCGCACCGAGAAGGAGTCGCTGCGTGAGGTAGGCCGGCGTGCCGAAGAGGCCGTCGGTGAGGCGTTCTCCAGGCGCGACCGCGCCGAACTAGCCCCGTTGTGGAGCATCGCTATCGTCCTTGTTTTTCCTTTCTTCTTCTTTTTGTTTTGATGGGGAGAGGAGGTATCTCTTGAAGTCGCTTCACTTGCTTGGATGTGTGTGTGTGTTAGCAGCAATCCTTCGCAAGCACGCAAGGTGCTGATCACGCCACCAAACTCTAAAATGAGCACAGCCGACTTAGAAACCAACACCAGCAACAACGGCGCACGCGTAGGAGAAGAAAAGAGAGCAATGTATAACAATATATATATATATATCCTTCGTTGTCGAAGCCCTGCTTCTGTCAACTAGGAAAGCAGCAAAAGGGAAATCTACGATGAAAATGCACAGCCAAAGAAAAGATGACGATGAAATACAGTGCCGCAAAAACGACGGGTGTGAGCTGAAACGGGAAGAACGTAGGTCGGCTAGAGGAGAGGGGTGAGAGCTCTTCCAACAGTGGAGGCGTCAGCGATGCAAATGGGAGAGAGGTTGGCGCAAAAGAAAAGGTAATAAGAAGAGCTCAAAGCAGTCACACAGTGCTGCTTCAGTCTTCGTCAACCCGGTTTGAGGTTCTATTGTAAAGAAAAGAAAAGGCAAAAGATAACGATAGGTGGTTTCACACGTGTGAAAGAGAAACGTAGAGGTGGTGGCTGCTCCGTTCCCTTTTGCCTTCCGGCGAGAAGGAGAGGCACGTGGAGGTCACAGCAGCGGCAGCAGCAACGACGTCGTCGAGGAAGAGGGAGGGAGGAAGAGAACGAGGGAGCAAGGGAAATGGCACAAGACCGAACACAAAGGAGGGGGAGAAAAGGGCAGAGAAATAACTCGCATTTCGCCGTTGCTGTGTGCAATTGAGCAGTTACAGCCGCAACAGTGACAAGGACCGCGTGGATCCGCGACCAACACGATTGCAACTCCTACAGTCTTGTTGCATCCAACGTCTTCAATACTAACGGGAAGAGGCAGTGTAAGCGCACAGACTGGGTTTTATGCTGTCCCCACCGGCGTGCTTACCGGCCTCAGCAAAGCCTTCACAACGGAAAACACAAAGAAGCACGTGCGCATTAGATGCATGTTACTTGGGTGCCATTAAGCCGATCCTTATTGCCATGGAAGTTATGTTACACGTTTGAAAGAAAACCAACAGCACATGAGAAGAAAAAGGCGTGACAGTGCATTCGGAGTGGAAAAGCGTAATGAAAGAAGAAAAAAGAATTACAAGACACAAACAAAAACATTCACGTCAATTAAGCGAAGGCCCAAAAAGTTGATCGTGCTCCCTCATTCGGTCAGCCTGTGTCTCTGCTGCCACTCCACAGTGTCCGCCTTTTTAAAGATTACTTTTGCGCTGTTCCTCACCGCGCTCGCCGGGTGGCGCCGTGCTTGAAGCGGCTCTCCCGCTTCTGCTCCATCTGTCGCTTGATCCCCTGCGATTGATGGCGAATGCTCTTGGCCAACGCCGTCAAGCTTTTGCTGCGCTGCATCCGCTGTCCTACTTCCCGCACACGCCGCGCTGTCGCCGCCGCCGCTTCCCGCTCCTGCTCACGGCGCCACTCCAGCAGCCGCGTCACCTCGTCCTGCGCCGCAGCCTCCTCCTCCCCATCGCCCCCAGTGGCGCCCTTCGACGAAGACAAGGACGCACCACCGCTGCCCTCCTTGTTCACCTCCTCCAACAAATCCGTGAAGCGGTACTGCTTCAGCTCCTTCTTGGCGCGCAAGCGCTCGACAAATGCCGCCCGCGTCTCCTCCGTGGCGTCTGCCCCGCTACGTTGCATTTTCCTCTGGACCTCACGCCGCTCTTTCCGCTTCTGCGCGGCCGACTTCACCTGATGGCCCCCACTCATCAGAATTTCTTCCGGCATGACCGTCTTCTCCAGCACGCTAACCTTGCCACGCACGGCGGGGTGCTGCTTCATCATCTCGGGCGTCGCGTCAAAGTGCTTCAGAGGGTTGAAGTGGCGAAAGTCCTCCTCCGTGTCAACAAAGACAACGTGTTTGTTCTGCGGCGCGGAGGATGTGAGGGCGGCGGCGGCCTCCTCGTGGAGCAGCTCGGTCGCACGCTGCTGATCGGCTTGTGCTTTAAACTCCAGGTACTGCACGTTGCGGCGGTTGTGCTCCACCGCTTTCTGCATGTCCTTCTTGCGGTCCGACTCCACCAGCCGCTCCTTCCGCTTCTTCATGCGACCGCTGGCGACGTCCATGACCGCCTTCGTCATGCCAATGTGGAACTCATCGGGATTGCGCTGGGCGGCGGCGCGCTTGATGTCGTGCAGGCGGCGCACCTTGACCTTACGCTTCTTGGCTCGGAGGACGTGATCTTTGTGCTTCTCCAACTGGCCAAGGTGCTCACGGTTTTTCGGCTGCGAGCGCTCCTGATGCGTCTTGCGCTTCAGGTGCTTGTCCAAGCCGCTGGCTCCTGGGTTACGGCCTTTTCCTTTCGTCATGGCTGCTCCAGCGAGAGAAGTTTCGTAGTATTGGTTCTGGGAAAAAAAGGAATCGACAATTGACCGGAGATGTGAAGAGGCAAAGCAACGCTGCCGCAATGTGAGTCCCGAGGAAGGACGAGGAAAACCTCCAAAAATAAAGCAGACGATGCGTGAATGTCTGCACCTGCCTTTTTCTTTCCTTCCTTTACGAAGTCGGTGGAGCAGAGAACGTGAAACATGAAGGAGGGAGAGAGAGAGAGAGAGGAAGAAGTGATGTTACCAAGTGTACCGTCAAAGCACGTTACATAATTCAGCGTTGAAGCGACAAACGCTTGTGTTCGACCATGATTGCGCGAGGAGTGGAAAAAGTCATCGATTCGACACGACAACAAAGGTCTCCAGCAACGATACACAGGAAGACTTCTGATCCAATACGAGAGAAAACCCATACCTTTGCGTTGACGCGGGGCGTACCCCCAAAAGCGTTGCAAATTCGCAGCTCCAATTCTTCTCTTTTCGTTTTTTACTTCGGGTGTTTATACGTCCTTAGGTTATGACAGTGCGCAGCTCCATTTAAGCGGGTTTAACAACAAGTTAAGACAACAGCGCCGTGATGATTTCAAACATGAAGGGGAAGCGGGGAATAAGTTCTACTCCGTAAGCTCAATGAGCAATGAAGTTGAACGAGCCCTTGCACTTTCCCGTGTCTCTGCTTTGCCCAGAAATATGGAAATCGACTGGGGTGGGTGCACGTTTCTTCTTAAAACGCATGCGCTTCCCGCACACACATACTCAGTGAGGGACAGATGAGGAAACGGTTGTGGGAAGGAAGGCTGACTGTCTGTGCCTGGCATCGTTTCTCCCGTCTTTTCTATTTCTGCTGTTGCTGGATAGCGCTTAATGGTCTAGAGCCTTGGCGCCCGCATCCACCACCCGCACCTCCGTTGACTGCACCATCTCCGACAGCGCGCGGCAGCGCTCCGCAAAGAGGCGCAGCCCATAACGGAAGATCTGCGCCGGGTGCAGCTGACCAACGCTCTCTACGTGGAAGATAACATTTGTCTTGTCCTTCTGCACCGTAACGCGATCCACCTCGCCGGCGGCAGCAGACGCGGCGGTGCCCTCGCTGCGCAGGCACTCCCGGCACAGCGTGCACTTCTCGGGCGCCACCACCGTCGCCGCTCCGCCCTTCTGGCCGCCCTCGTAGGCGAAAACGCCCATCGGGCAGCTCTTGACGAGGGCTTCGGCAGCGGCGCCGGACAGCGGCTGGCGCAGCTCCACGGATGTCTTCATCTCATAGTAGCACGCCGACACCGGGCTCCACTTGGCGTGCACGCTGCCGATGCCCTTCACGGCAATCGCCTTCAGTTTGATGCGCTGGCCAGGGCCGAGTTTCGTGATGACGATATCGGGATGAACGAGAAAGACCGCGTCGTCGCTGTCGATCCCTTCCACAGAGCTGCCACCGCCTCTGCTCGCCTCCTCGTTCTCCGACTGCGCCGTGGTCCCGTCGGCAGCCTTGGCCTTCTGCTCCTGGCCTGGCAGCGGCACCCACTGCAGCTGGCGACTGTACACCGGTGTGACAGCGGCGTCCTTCGCTCCGGTTGCGTCCAGCTCGAAGAGCAGCACGCGGCGGGGATCTAAGTTGTTGAAGCCGGCCTGGCTGCTCTCCGTGATGTAGTCCATCTTCATCACCGGCCCCGCCACCGGTACGAGTCCCAGACGGTGCGCGAGGAGCTCGTCCAACACCGGGCTGTCGTTCTCTTCGATGAGGATGCGATCAAAGGCCAGCGTGGGCACCTCGGTCGTCAGCACGCGGCGGAACAGGTTCGCGATGGGCGGGCTAATGTGGTGCATCTCGAAGGACATCCGCTCCACCCGACGAGTCGACCACGGGAAGCCATCGACGGTCGTGCGGGTCGCACCGCCGTGCGCTGGCGAGGACGACGCCGGCACGCCGGCCCCCGCCTCCGACTCCTCATCGTTCCGCTCCTTCTTCACAACCGACGGCACACCAGGCAGCTTTTTGCTGCCTTCCTTCGTGAAGTACGACGAGGGTAGACCGGCCACGGCGGAAGCGATGCGAATGTTCGACACGGTTGGCTTATCTGGCTGCGTGGTCGACGGCACGTTCTTGCCACTGCTGTAGGCGTAGGTATGCGGCGAGCTGACCGTCTCGGTGTTCTCAGCCCGGTGATAGCCCACCTGCACCTTATCGACATCACGCGAAGGTTGCTGCGCCATTGCGTGTTCTTGTTCTTGTCTGCTCGCGTGCTGTAGTACTGTTAGATAACAATAAATATTAGAATAAGGTAGTAAGTGCGTCCGTCATTGACTAAGATAGCGGCCCTCGTCTCTCTGCGAAGGAGTTAAAGCTATTGAACGGTGAAACAACACGGCACTAAGAGAAGAGAGGAGAAAAAACAAAGAGAGGGGGGAGGGGCCAACGAGTACTCGCCATTTGTGGGGCAATTGCTTTCAGGGCAAACAAAAACGAAGGGAGATGCGTATCGGCGCCGACCGCAAGAGCAATAATACGAAGCCCAAAGATCAATCGGTCGTTCCAAAAAAAGAAGAAGAAGGCTTTTGTGCTGCACCTCCTCACAGTACGCCTCCTCTTCACCATTGTTGCTTATCCGCTTTCGTCACCGCACCAACTGCCTTGTCGTCTCCCGCAGCGCTCCCATTCCATTTCTTGTGCTGTTGATAAACCACAGTATGTACTTGATAGCTTTTTTGTTTATGCGTGATAGCTTATAGACAACGTACTTTTGTCTTGTCCCTCTTCCACAGGTGCTCTACGACCAATATCCACTGCATTACACACGTTCCACAGAGTGTGGCTTTCTTTTTGTTTGTTTTATCCCCACACAATATGGTGTCAGATCTATTCACTTCTCACCAACAGCAAGTAACACACACACACACACACTCACCCTTCCCGATTAAGGCCGACACACGCCTGTGCTTCTGCGTCTACTCCGAATGCGACGACGACGAAGAGGAGGACGAAGAGGAGGAGCTGTCGCTGTCGTCCTCGTCTTCCTCCGTCGACGACAACACACCAATGCGCAGCGCTGGTGCCGACGATGCCGCCCCCGCCGCTGCGGAGGTCACTGGTGCCGTCTCCACGTACGCGCTCGGGTCGGCGTAGGCATCTGGACTTGTGGGGTCCAGCACGTGTCGTGCACCGCCCTTGTCTTCGCCGCGACGCCGCTGCTGCCGCTCGTGGCGCTCCTCGGCCTGGCGGTCACGCTCCTGCTGCCGCTGTCGTCGCTCCCGCTTCTCGCGTGTCGGGTCGTCGATGATGCGGTCGTTGCGCAGGAGGTACACCGTCTGCTCCGCGCATTGGAACTTCTGCAGCGCGAGCGCGCGGGCCTCGACGTTGCGGTTTGGTACGTCGATGCGGGCCACGCGGCCGACGATGACGGTGGGGCCCACACGCATATTGAGCGCCTCGCCTAAACTCTTGGCGAGTAGGAGACGAACGTTGCCGCCGTGAAGTCTGCAGTTGGGGATAGGGTAGATGAGCACCGACGGCGGGCGCTCCTCCAGCGCCTTGGCGGGGATCGCAGGAGGCGGTCGGAAGAGCGGGTTCGCCGTCGCCGCCCCGGTGAAGAAGGCAGGGGGCGTGGGGGAGGACGTCCCCAGCATCCCGAGCACACTCCCGGCCCCACCCACGGAGTCGAGCAGGCCGCCTGAGGAAGGCGGCAGCGTTGTGCCCAGCAGCGCCATCAGCTCTTCTGTCGTGGGCGCCTGAAAGACAGCGTTCGGCGGGGCGTGACTGCTGCCGTAGTCGTAGTACTGCCGCTGCGGTTGCTGCGTTGCGGGGGGAGCCGGTGCGAAGTCCGTCGCACCGCCCTCACCGCCAAAATTGATCGCAGCGAGTAGATCGGCGGCGGTGGGCTGCGGCACCACAAAGTCCGCCGGATCATCGTTTCTCCGATCGACGTCGGGCCCTCCGTCAGCGTAGGAGGTGTTTGTACTAGAGAAGGACCCTGGAGCACCGCCGGCAGCGCCTTGCATGGCGGCCATCTGCATCGCTTTCAACTTATCTGCCAAGGTCTCGCCGGCGTTTGTCGAGACAAACGGCGTGGTCGCAGCTCCCGCGGCGGCGGCGGTGCCACGCATCCCATCCGTTGTCGCCGTGGAGGTCGAGGTCGTCATGTTGGGAAACACCGCCGCTGAGGTCGCAGCCCCGCTGTTGCTGATGCTGCTGCTGCCCGCATTGGTGGCTGTCGGGTGCTCCTGCGCCCGCCGCGCCTGCTCAATCTGCTCCGCCAACGTAGGGCCGACGTTCTTCTTCAAATTCACCGCTGCCGATTCGAGCTGCAGCCCACCGCCGTCGCCGGCGTACATGTCCCCGTCCTCGTCCACTCCGTCGCCATCCACCACGTCGTGTACCTCGTATATGCCCGTCTTCGCACCACCCCACATGCTCGCCCCGCCCCCGCTGTTGTACGTACTCGGGTCCTCATCCCCCAACACCCCACCGGCGCTGCCGTCCGCCGCGGTGGCAGCAGCATCGGTGTAGCCCAACTCCTCCCGCAGCTCCACCTCCACCGACTCGAGAAAGCTAATGAGCTCCTCGAGATTGTCGCCGAGCACCTCCATATCCGGCGCGGCCTGCCGCAACAGGTACAGGTAGTACTCGTGGTAGGGGTCCTCGGGGTTGAGGAAGGAGAACATGTCAGGGCTGTCGCGCAGCAGCCGCGCCTCGGCCTCGCGGGTGCCTTTCGCCGCCATACTCTTCGCGCACTGGCGAAAGATGTGATCCACGTCGGCAGGGGGAAGCTTCCCGGTGTACGTCGCTGGCAGACCACCGTCCGCGTTGCCGGCCTCCTCGTTGTCCTCCGCCGCCGCCTTCGATTCGGCCGCCGCATCCGCCGCACTGGCGGCCGACGCTGCCGCTGCGTTCTTTGCGGCCGCTCTGCGATCCGCGCTTGTCGGCACCACCACCGCCGCCGGTGCCCCGGGGTGCAGCTGCCACGCGTAATAGCCGTAGAGCTGCTGACGGAGGCTGGCTGTCTTGGCGGCATCAGACGGCGACGGCGCCGTCTCCTCGTCCTTGCCGTTGTTCTTCGGCTTGTTTTCTTCATGATGGGCGACCAACGCCCGCTCCTCGCGCAGCCACTCCCTGCCTTCGGCGTGGCGACGCTCCCACCAGGCCCAGGCGTCTGCCACCTCTGCCGCCACGGCCGGATACGCAGCCGCCATCGCCGCCGTCTCTTTCGTGCTTGGCTGGCCCCGTAAAGCGGCGCCACGCACCACTGCGGTGAGTTGAATGCGCACGTGGGTGCGCAGTTGCTGCAGCCATCTCGACGTGGTTGCCCGCATCGTGAAGGAGAAGTTTTGGTCCATCATGCAGACCACCTGCTGGCAGTGGACCGTGTCGTACGACTGAACGGCAATGGAGGTTGGCGGGAGCTGCGCGACGGGCGGGAGGCCCCGTGCACGACGCGTCTCCCGCCAGCTCTTCGTCAGCACCGACGACCACCCACGGCACCGCAGCGGTACCTTGCGAGGACGTTCGTAGGAGTGCCCGCAGAAGACGAGCGCGGCGGCCTCGTGCAACGGGTTGAGCTGCTCCACAACAGCCGAGGTGGTGGTCGACGTGGCCGCCGCCGCGTCGCGTGCGGTGTCGTCCGCAATGGCCTTGGCGAGAAACAGAAAAGGCCTGCCCGCGGCCTTCGCACCCTGACCGGGGTCGGCGAGCAGGGAGTCCTGCGCGAAACTCGCAACGCGCCGGGTGCCCCACGCAGGACCGCCAGCGGCTGCCTCAGCGCCCGTCCCGGCTGTGGCCGACACGGCGTCGTAGAGGAGACCGATGCCGTTCTCGCCGGTGGGGACAACGCAGCTCGGGTACAACGCAGCAGTCACACAGGCGTGCAGGGCGCGACTTGAAGACACCTCCGGTGAGAGGGCCGCCATGGCAACGCCCAACACCTCGCGCAGCTGTGCAGCCGCCTCCGCCGTGTTGTGCAACGAGGCGATGCAGCCACGCAGCGCCCTCTCCGCCGCCGACTCCGCGCGGTCCACACCGCTGATGCTGCTGGTGGGGATGTGGTCACCGCCGTCACCGCCAGGCGGCGCCGCGAGAAGCCCGAAGGAGCGCAGCACGGCACACATGCCCACCTGCGTCTCAAAGACGGACGTCAGCACGTGCAGCGACACTCCGCACTCCTCTAAGAAGTCCCTCTCCGCATCGGGTTTGCCGCGCACCGAGCACCACATCTGATACACGTGGAAGGCCACGACGACGTCGCTCAGCGAGTCGCGCGAGAAGAAAAGACGGGCCTCGCTGAGGAGAGCCGCCTGCTCCGCCACCGCCTCGCGCGCCGCGTCAGAAGCGTCCCCCACGCGAACACCGCCGACGCCCTGAAGCGAGAGGAGGTCGCTGCAGCACCATAGCGCACCGATGGCGGTCAGCGCCGCCACGGACGGCCGCAGGAGAGACCCGACGACCAACAGCCGTGCAACAGGAAGGGGAACCGGCAGACACAGGGCGAGAACACCGATGGGCTGGAGAACAAGACGGCCGTTGGTGATGGAGCCTGCGTCGTTGTCCACCGCGATGTGGGCCGCGGCACGCAGGTACGACTCCACCGAGGTCATCACTCGACGGAGCGTCTCGTACTTATTCGCGGTGGCCGCCGGCATACCAATCAGGAGAGCGGAGAGGAGGTTCGAGATCTTCGCCGCGACGGTTGGGCTGCTCTCGTTGCTATTATTCTGATAGGGGCTGCGACCGAGGCTCGCCGCGACGGACGCGCGTTGCGCCAGCAGTGCCTCCTCGCGTGCCTGCAACGCTTGATAGAGCTGCACGTAACGGTGAAAGGGCAGACGGAACACAACGTGCTGGGCCGGATCGGCGTTGAGCCGACGGTGCTGTGCGCTGTGGAGGACAGACTTGGGAATGAGCTGGATGACGACCGGCGCGCTTTGCGCATCTGCATTCTCCGCGGCCATCACCTTGGCCAGTCGTCGACGATACCGCAGCTGGGCAATGCTGCTGTACTCGGTGACGCAGGTGTCCGCCATCGTCGCCGCGTCCACGGCGGTGTATGTGCTGCGCGCACAGTCCACCGCCAGGCCAACATCTAGGTTGGACGGCAGCACCGTTTGGCTGAGCTCACTCGTCGCCACCACAATCCAGCGCTGGCGAACGTCCGTCACGACGGTGCGCTGCGCCATCGACACAAAGTTCGCGAACGGCACGTCCTCGGCGAGTGGCGTGAACACACGCTGCGCCACGACATCGTCCTCCGCCGCCTCCTTCTGTGCCTCTTGCAAGGCGCTTGAAATGACGTGCACGTAGTAGTTGTTCGGGGCCACGATCAAGATGGCCGGCATGGGAGATGCGGGACCACCGCTGACAGCCCGACTGCTACGGGCTTGCCGGTCCGCCTTGTCGTACTGATCCACGCATTCCCGAATCAAAGCCAGCCAGTACTGCCGAAACGCGGTGGGTTGTGTGAACTCGGCGTCGCCGGCGGCCATGATGCGCGCCACGGCGTCCACGTTATCTGCGTAGGAGAGCAGCGCCGTCTCGACCGTGCTGCCGGCGCCGTCGCGCACGAGGCAGCAGCCCTCCTTCGCACACTTCTGTAACCACTGCACCGTCTCCTCGAGGTAGAGCGTGGAGGCGGCCGCGAGCAGCGAGGAGGAGGCCTGAAGGGTAAACGTAGTTGCTTTGCAGCGGGAGGGGGCGAGGAAGGCGAGCAGCGCAGAGGCGCTCGCTTCATCTGGGCAGCTTAGCACGAGGTGCAGCTTCCGCCCACGCCGCGCATCCGGGCTCGTCTGCGCCGCCTCCGCTCCTGCGACTCCAGCGCCGGAAATGCCCGCGGCTGCGCTTGTGTTTTCCTGCTGCTCCGCCTGCTGCTGTACCGTGAGTAAATCGCGAAGGAGGGCCAGGCAGAGCTCCGTCGACTCATCGCGGAAATGCGCGTCATCCAGCACGACACACCCAACGTCCTCGAGGCACGGATCGCACAGGAGCTGCCGGAGCAGCACCTCCGCCGTGGTGACCACCACACTGGTGCTCTCGCTTACCTCCATGAAGTTGGGGAGCGCGGCAGCGACCGTCCGCGACGCGTGCACGTCCTCGCCGCGTTCCTCGCGCAGGCGCAGCACCGTCAGTCGCGCCGCCGTGGCATTCGCACTCACGACAATGAGCCGCCGCCGCTTCAGCACCTCCGTCTCGGAAAGCACAATCGGTACCTGCAAGGTCCGTCCGCTGCCGGCAGGCCCGACGAGTGCCACCACCGCGTGATTCAGCACTGCATCCAAGAAGCCCATGCGCTGCTGATGCACCGGGAAGCGCTGGCGATGCGGCAGCCACTGTCGGCGCAGCTTCAGCAGCTGCGTCATGGGCAGCGTCTTGACCGCGGCAAAGACAAACGGGGGGAGCGGTGCGAGATGCCGGGTCGGCGTGGACACGGCACCACCTGATGCGTCGGTTTCATTCACACGACCATCGCTGGTGGCGGCGGGGTGGTGCGCAGCGTAGGCGACGGAGGCGGTTTGAAAGGACGGCTCAGCACGCAAACCCTGGCCGGCGCCTAAGACCGCAGCACCGCCCGCAGAAGAGGAGGAGAAGAGCGACGACGATGTGCCCTTCGCCTCGCGCCAGCGTGTCTCCCAGCGATCCACGTCGATGGCGCTGACGGGGACGTCGAGAACGTAGTTGGGACGCCTGGAGTCGAAGACGCCTCCGCCGGCGGCAGCAGCGTTCTGCAGGCGTTCCGCCGCCGCACGTAAGGCGCTTACGGAAGCCACCGGTGCCACCTGCCGCCTGGATGGGTACGTGCCCAGGCTACAAGACATGCTTCCTCGTCGTTGGTCTTCTTAATTAACCCACGAGGCTCTTATCGGCCTGCGGTACCTTCTCTTTTTATGTTTGTTGGTATTTCGGGTTTTTAATCTGTCAAGGCAGATCAACAAGCACCACTACAAAGAGTTGAGCGACGCGGCAGTGCCCGACAACAAACCGGCTAGTGTGATACTAACGACAAAAGCGAGTTGTTTGTAGTCCAAATAAAAGCACTGCATTTGCGTGTCGAATGAAGATGAGGAGAGAGAGAGAGAGCAAGGGAGTGAAAGAGGACGTGAGCGTGAAGGAATGCAAGCATCACATTCACAAAAAAAAAAAAGAGAAGGAAGGAAGGACGCTGCACAGGTCGAAGAGCAGTATCCACAGCAACCCTCCATTTTTCTACGACAGCTCAACACGTCACGCCAACAAAGTGAATTCATGATAACGAAGTGCTTGGACTGGCAGTGAAGAACTCAATTCGCCCTTCACTGCGGCTTTCCAACACAAATGTAGCAACACAGCTCTGCGAACCGCAAAAACGACAAGATCAACCAACTTATTATTAGTTTTTGTCTTCCTGCAGCGGAATACGCACAACGGGAACACCGAGAAGAGACGTCGACAGCGCAACGGAGGGACACAACGCAACAGAACTACGCAATAGCAATAATAAAGAACAGCTCTCATATATATTTATAGATGTACTAATTACACATCCTCCTTGATGCCGCGAAGCCGGCGCAGCTCCTCATCGGTGATGGGCAACTGATTGGCCTCCAGTGCCTGCTCGATGAGTTTCTGCATGCGATAGTGTCGGTAGCAAAAGTAGAAGACGGCGATGGTGACGACAAAGCCAAGGACCGAAATGACGATGGTGCCGGGAGACGCAGAGAAGGCAGTAGTCAGCACAAACGACGCATCACGGAAGGTGTCCAACGGAGCATCGGTGCTGTTCGTCAGCCACTTGAAGGAGGACTGAGTGATGTCCAACGCTGGCGATTTCTTCGAGTTCCACGTCCCAATCGTTAGCGGATCGGCATCCCACAGCTGAACGTTAATGACGTACGCGGCCCAAAGACGGTTGCCGGTCGAGTCGATGGTGCAGTTGCCCGTGAACCTGTCAATGGACGTATTGCGGATGTATGGCAAGAGGTTCGCGGCCACCTCCATCGACACATTCGCCTTGAGAGCGCGCGTTACGGCGTCGATGAGCACGTACCCGGCGTCCACCGCAAAGCCGGCAAAGGGGGTAATGGCGGTCGTGTTGCACGACTCTATCGATGAGACGAAGCCTCCATCGCTCATGACCTTCTTCATGGACGTCAGCGTCGCCACGTTGGCGCTGCTCTGGTAGTCCGCGTTCAGCGCGTTGAGCTTCGCACCCGGCACGTAGGGGAGAATGCAGATGGAACTGGGCAGCTTCCGCCGCAGCAGCGCACCCGCCTGCGAGGCGGCGGCGGTCTGGCACAGCGCCCCGTCGAGGAAGAAGATGTACTTCTGCATGTAGGGAAGCGAGTTCGCCAAGTTGAAGAAGTCCTCCGCCTGGGCGGCGGTGAAGGGCACCAGCAAGACAACAATGCGGCTCACCAGCTTTGCGTAAATCTTCTCCATGACATCCTTTAGCGCCACCGCGGTTGAGTTGCTCAGGGAGTACGAGTTCTCCACGTAGAGGTTCTGCTTCTGCATCGTCGACTTCATCGTGGCAGCGCGTGAAATACCATACTGGTCGTTCAAGGAGATGAGGATGACACGCTCCCAGCCGTAGTGCACGCAGACCTGCGCAACGGCGCCATCCTGAAACGTGTCCTTCGGTGTGCTGCGGGAGAAGTAGGGGTAGGTGTACGGGTTGTTGGTGAAGTAATCGTTCGACACGGCGTAGTCAAGCTGCGGGATCTTGAACTCGTTTACGACCGGCGTGAAGGCCATCACGATGGAGTCGGACCCCGGCCCGCTAAGCACCGTGCAGGTTCGCGCAATTGAAATGAGCGAGGCCAAACCGGTAACGCCGCTGGCACCGGTGCTGACCGCGACGGGGTAGAAGTTGAACACGTCGTCGCCGTCGTCGTCCTCGACCTGCGTATTGTAGGCCTCCAGCACGTACATCATCGCCATCATCATCTGCACCGACGCACAGCTGGAGGCGCCCGTCATGCAAATCTTTGCGGTGCGCAGCGGCGACGCCTTCACGAGGGCCGACGTCGTCGTTGCGTTCACGTTCACCTGCTTCGCTGTGGACGAGTAGTTCTTGAGGGTCCACGTCACCAGCGGGTCGCGGATGCGGTGGCTGGCTGTCACGAGAGAAAAGACGGATTCCACGCGCTGATAGTAAATGGGGTCGAAGGAGACGGTTCCGGTGTAGCCGTCGAAACGGGCGGCGCGCAGGGTGGTCATGTTGTCCACCGCGCCCTGGGCCGCGTCGATCATGAGCAGCCCGTCGAGCAGGTAGCTCAGCACAAAGGCACCGAACTCATCAATATCGCGGCCCAGCGAGAGCGGGAAGAAGCCCTGCGCCACGAGCTCGTCGGGGGTGGTGTAGCCAGACACGAAGAGTGCACCCCACGGCTTGATGGGTGAGTTGACGTCGCCGATGAGGCTCGGTAGCACGTTCAGGCTTTCGCGTGAGCCGATCAGAAAGACAGTGTTCGCAGCACGGTTGTTGCGCACCGCCGCCTGCCTAAGACGCAGCATCTCCGACTCCTTCACGAAGCACGCCACGCCACGGGCCCGGTACTCAATCACCTGCCTCACGACGTCATCGTCGTCGCTGTCCGAGGCCGCAGAGTTGATGAAGGTCTGCGCGACGATGGTCGGCGTGGTTGAGGCAGCCTGCACCTGCCCGCTCAACACCGTCTGCACGCCGTCACCGTAGCCGTCGTTGCTGAAGGTGAGTCCCATGGAGTACCACTTGAGCTGACTAGACGCCACCTCTAACAGGCCGCGTACGTTGATCATGTCGCGCGGCACCATGCACACCGTGCGCGGGTTCGTCGCAGGCTCGCAGAGGCGCGAGTTGGAGGAGTGTGCGGAGATGACGAGGATGTTCGACTTCGTGTCGTTCTGCCGCAGCATGTCCATCACCGACGCCGACACGTCAGCCGTCTCGGCGAGAAAGAGCACGCTCGGGTACTTAGCCGCGTCGCTCAGCAGTGCCGTCAACTCCGTCAGGGCGGTCAGCAGGCTGCCGTGGGTGTTCAAGACGATGGGGGACGGACGAAAGAGGCGGTGCAGGTACGTGTGCGGTGCCGACGAGTTGTACAGAAAGGCGGTGATCGCCTCGGAGAGGGACGCCTCAGACAGGGAGGTGCGACTGAGGTCCATTAAGATGGCCCAGACAAGACCGGTGGCGTTGCCCGCGTTGGAGTCGGAGAGAGACGAGGAGGGGACGCTGGTGGTCGACGTGGTGGTCGACGTGGTGGTCGTAGTGGAGGTCGTAGTAGATGTTGTACTGGTCGTTATCACGGCGTCGCGGGAAGAGCTGTCGGACGAGCTATAGGAATAGCTGCTGGAAGAAGGCGAGACCGCTTCCCCAGCCGCTGCAGACGTTGCCCCGGCCCACAGCACGAAGAAAGCAAGAAGGAGGAGTGCGACCACACCAGTGCGCTCGACGGTGAGGTGGCGTTGCGCCGCTGTGGCTGGAGAACTGCTGCCCTTCATGGTTCTGTTCTCCTTTTTTGCCTTTGGCAAGAGCTGCAACGTTGAAGTGTCGGCGAAGGAGAGAGAGAGAGAGCAGTGGGAGATCACGACGCACAGAAGCAAAAAAAAAAAAGCCGTACGTCGAAACGCTCCGAATCAAGCTGCTTCGTTGGGCGCGAAGATGTATATAGAAAATAAAAGCAAACGAGAGAATCGAAACGGAGGGAAAAAAGCGAAGGAGAGAAGCAACACGCACGTGCGGGAAAAGAGTATATATATAAAGGAATTGCTCCTTGCGCTTTCCTCCAATCTTTTTCTTTCTTGTAATAGATGTGCCCCAATGGTGGTAATGGGCGTGCAGAGAGGCGTAGGCTCAGCGGGATCGTGTTTGTGTATTTGTATTTGTCAACAGACCACCGGAACGCTGCTCTCGTGTGGCAGCGGCGTCGGTCGGGTGAGTCGGTGTGGCGGTGGAATTGATTTCAAGGGAGACGGCTCTAACACAAAGTGAGAATATGCGCCGTGAGAGTTGTATCAAATGTGCAAGCTTTTAGTTCTTTGTCGCTTCTCGGTTAGTGGAAAGGTATATTTTTCACGGACGTGAGAGGCCGTTGCGTGCTGCTCCGTGGAAAGAAAACGCGTTATAGCTGTGTCCACCAACGTTACGTGGGACACGTAGCCGCGCAGATTTGAGAAGTCCAAAGAACTTCTCTGCATCGGGTAAACACGCAAAAACCAAGCAAACAGAGGCAGACAGACAAGTGCGAGTAAATAAAGGGACACATTGTCACGCATGACGGTGAACAGACACAGCTCACGTTGGCGCAGGCACCTGACGTTGAGCACGTCCGCATTCCTGTCCAACACAGATACATTTAGCCAGTTTTAATAAGCATTCAAAAGAAAAAGTATGGTTTTTCGTCCACTCGATTTCTGCTGGATCTGAGAAGAAAAAAGGAGAATGATTTCAAGTAATGAGTATCATACAAAACCAAAGGCGTGCTCCTAACTCAGAAGCTCTAGTCTCTTTGCCGTTCTCAAACATAAAAGAAAACATGCCGATCTTCTTTCTTCCGTTCCCTGACGAAGGGATCTCTCTCTTGATACATATATATGCTGGTGTGTGTGTGTGTTTCTTCTCACCCCTCTCTCTCCTCCTCAGAGGGTCCTGCTGCTCTCTTCCCCCATTAAACACTACAGACCACCACAACGAGAAGATACCACGAGAAGCAGCGAGGAAATAAAAACCCTCACGGTACGCATAACCGAGCGAGGTGAGAGGCAAACGACGGTCAAAACACAAACAACAACAACAACAGCAAAAGAGTCCGAAGAGGGGAGGAAAGAGAACTCCAGCGAGCAAGTCGAACAGAAAAGGAGAAACATAAACACAGTACAAGCGTATATATTTATCGCGGACGCACAATGCAGAAGATAAGAAAAAGAAAAAAAGAATTCTAGCTGCTAGGGAGGGAAGGAGGGGGAGGGAGAGAAGAGTGGTTCGTTGTCACAGAGCAGTGCCACATGTCCCTCCACCATCGCTCAGACCCTGGCCGAAACAGTACGCGGAGATGCTCGGGAAAGGCCACAGAAGTCAACAAAACCAACAGAAGTCAAGGCTTGCAAGCCCTTCGCTTGACCTTCACTATTCGTTGCTTCGTATCTAATTCTCTCCCTTCACCATCTCCAACGACTGTTTGAAGCAGACGCGCACTCCCTTCAACCGCCACCGAAGAGTGAGCGCTAAGAGGCTCCTTTCACGAGCGCGGCATGTAGTAACCAAACTGGCACCGCATTAGCCGCGGTCACCGCGGAGGCGCAGAGCGAGCTGCAGATCCTTTGGGAAAAGCGTCACGCGCTTCGCGTGAATGGTACACAGGTTCGCGTCGCCGAGCACGTTCACGACGTAGCTCTCCGTCGCCTCCTGGATCGCCTCCAGCGCGGAGCTACTCATGCGGATTGTATCCTTGAAGGTCGTCACAATCTCGCGCACCAGACGGCGGAACGGCGCCCGCTGGATCAGCGCATCGGTCGAGTGCTGGTATTTGCGGACCTCACGGAGGGCCACGGTGCCCGGACGCCAACGGTGCTGACGCTTCGCGCCGTTCGCGCTGGCGCGAGGCGACTTGGCCTCCTTCTTGGCTGTCGCGCGACTCGCCTTGTGCATCTTGCGGCTCGCCACGTTCTTGCTCGGCCGCTTCGCCACGACAGCAGCCCTTGTAATTCCCGCCATGGTAAATGCGAGAAAGAAAGAAGGGGGAGGCAGGTGTGCAGTTTGAAAAAAAAAAGAAACGAGAAGAGAAGAGAACAGGAAGTTAGCAAACAAACCAAAAAATGTTTGTGTTGGGGGTGCGGGAGAAATCTTCGGGAACAGAAGACTGCGCTGGAGGGCAGAATAATGCGTGGGAGAGAGAACGCGGTGAAAAGCAAAGGAAAAGGAAAAGGGTTGATAAAGGTGACATGGAGGAAACGAAGTCGCGGTTGAAGTCGCGTCAAGCGACGAGAGACGAGAGACGAGAGAAGGCAGGCAACTCCCTCACTGCTGTGCGGACGAACGGTGAGAGAGTCCACCTCACCGCTGAGACACGCTGGGAAAAACAGCACATGCGGCGAGTTCATCTGCTACAGCCACGAAAAAGCTCGTGAGTTGCATTGAAACAGAAATGTGGCCGCAGTAATAAGCCATTTTTTTGAGGGGGAAACGAGAACGATGATCCTGCTTTGTTTACTCAGATTGACCGAGGAGATAATATATATATAACAGACGGCTTCATCTATGCTGAATCCTCGGCTGGGTTGCTGGCGCACCAAAGGAACACCTATATGACCGCGGCGGAGGTAGTACATAAATGCATATAAAAGTCGGACTTCTATGCACGTGGGAAGAAAACTGTATGGCAACTGTTGCAACACTGTGACCGTAACTGCTAAGGCTTGCAAACAGTTCCGCGTGTACAACAAACACACGGACACAACAAGGATCTTCGGAGAAGACAAAAAAAAAACCCGCAAGTGACAACGAAGGTAACAGTACGGTAAAAACACTCGTAGACGGCGACAAACGAGATCCTAAAAGAAACAGAAAGGAAGGAAACGCAACACCGCCCACCAAAACGAAAAAATGAAGGGCACACAATAATCTTCGGAAGCGCACAGGTGCATCGCTGCTGTTTTCTTTCGGCTCAGTACCTTCGTTTCTTTCTGTTGGATCGCCACCCATGTATCACGCATCAATAAGGGAAAAGTACTGCTCCAGTTTACTGCGCACGCCGACGGACCACTCCACGCCCATGTCGTTCAGAAGCTCCGTCAGTTCCCGAATCACCTCCTTCGGATCGGTGGGGCCTTCGATGTTGGTGACCTCGATCTCGTACGTCTCGCACTGCCGATCGGCCCACGGACGGACTTGACAGAAAGGGATGCGCACCCCCTTCACATCTGCTGGCACCTTGTAGAGTGTCTTGTCGAGATGAATCAACAACGGCGGCGCGAGTGGTGGCGGCGGCTTCGACTGTCCGTCGCTTACCTCGGGCTCTTGCCGCGCCTGCTGTTGCTGCTGCTGCTTTTGGGATAGTAAGTAGGAGTTGGACGTGTAGATGAGCTGACTCGGCGGGGCTAGGGTGGGACCGGTGGCGGACGCGCTCGCCCAGCTGCGCTGCAGCGTCGACGGCTGCGCCTTTGCTGACCACCACGGCACGATCACGCGCTCCGTCGTGAAGGTCGCGGTGCGGCACAGTTCCCGCACACCAAACTCGTCCCAGATGGTTTTCATGATGGAGAAGTTGTCACAGTGCTCGCGCAGGAACTTCGAGGGGTCGTCGACCAACGCGTGCGCGATCACCTCGGACAGCTCTAGCGTGCTCGACAGCGAGTTCTGCTGACCGCCGACGAAGACCTGGTGGGCTTTGAGAACCAAGAAGTACTTCTTCGAGTGCCGCTGCTTGCGCAGGCGCAGAAACGTGTGCCCGCGCCGCAGCGTCTGCTCGGGACCGTCAAAGAAAAAGTCCTCGTTCGTCTCCTGCAGGTAGCCGCTTGGGTTCGTCTGCCACCACGTGTCGCCGTCGCCGTCATCCGCGTCGTCCACTTCGGTGTTGGAGATGTACCGCTTCTCCTGCGACGAGCGCGGCGCGTTGCCACCGGTGGACACACCAGACGCGTCGGTGGGCTGCGTGAGACGCTGCAGGTTGCGCCGCACCTCCTCGAAGCCGTTCACGTTGGTCAGCCGCAGCTTCACGTCCATTGCGTCTTGCTCCACATCGCGCGTCGCGGCGAGGCAGTGGACGTAGCGCGCGTACTTGCTCTCACTTCCCGTGTGGTACCGCACGCCCAGCTTCGTCAAGAAGACGCAGACCTCTGCTGCCACATCGTCGACCGCCACCCCGCACTTGGGCACTTCCAGCTCATAAATCGTAAATCCTGGCAGGAAGAAGCTCGTGTCCAGCCGCACCCGTCGCGTCTCACGGAGTTCAGCCTCGCGGGACGACTCCCCGGCGCTCGTGCCGATGCCTTGGTGCACGCCGGCGTAGGCGTAGATCTGTCGCCGCGTCGAAAATCCCCCCACCGCCTCCAGCTGCGGGACGGCAGCAGCCGCGTTCGTGCCTGACTTACGCTGCTGCTGCGAGGGGCGTTGTTGCTGCTGTTCCTCCTCTTCGTCCTCTGCTAGAGCCGAGGCGGCACGCTGCTGCTGCGTGTAAACGCTGCGAGCACCCATACCGGAAAAGCGCACCTGTGTGAAGTGCGCGTCGGACTCCTGCGACGCACTTCGAGCGCGCTTGCCAACGTAGCCGCTCGCCCGCGCCGGCGTGTAGGCGTGTGCGATTTCCGTCAGCTGCGTCACGATGCGTTGGATGGCGGAGTCGCCTTTGCCGTCGTCGGCGCAGGGCCGTCGTTGCGCGTACGCCGACAGCACCGTGAACGCGTTCGTGGAGGAGTCCGCCGGTCGCGGTCCACTGGAGGGGATCATGCCGGTGATGAAAAGCGACGCCGGCACGAGCTTCACCAGCGCCTCGACCACATCCGCCGGCACGTCTGCGTCCTCAGCGACGAAGGTTAGTTGATGCCCGTGCTGGACGGTGTTTTTCTGCTTCAAAAAGAGTTTCCCAGTAGCCCCGGCAACAAGAATGGGCTGCGGTAGAGCGCGACTTCGTGTGGCGTCTCCCACGGAAGAATAGCGAGGGCTTGATAGATTGGTCAGCGTGTCACCCGTGCTGCTGTGCGCATCCGCTGCGCCACCACCGGTCCCGTTTAGTCCTCGACAGGAACGAAGAAACGCCTCGTACGCCGCATCGGGGTCGTAGGCGCCAACTGCGTTCCCGCCACCGGGGCCGGCAGCGGTAGTGGCAGTCGTAGCGCCTGTCCTGTTATCAGCTGAACTCTCGGCGTTGCCGCTATTCGCACCATCTTCATTGATGTCAAGAGAAGGCTCGGAAGCGCCGGCAGCCGTGAAGCTCTGCAGCTCACATGGAACACGCAGCCGCAGCACACTGTCGCGTTCCTGAAGAGCGCGGTAGCTGAAATCGAAGAAGAAGTCGTAGTAGCACTCGTCCTTGAGGTGGTGGCTGGCCAGGGTTTGTGCTGTGCGCTCGCACCCTTCCGCGCTGTCGATCGATAACTTCACTTCGACTTGCATTTGTCTTTTTCTTCTTTTGGTTGTTGTTTCGATTGTGCGGAGTTGTATGAGGTTGGCGATAGGATTCGATGCTAATGTGTGTGTGTGTGTGTGTGTGTGAGTGTGTGTGTGTGTGTGTGAAGAGTACAAATAATACTCTGCTTCCTTTTTTCTGTCGACTGTTCAACGGGAAGTCGATCGCGCTTCCAACGGTTCAAAGTCGAGGTGGGTCGGCTGAAAGCGGCTTTCTTTCGTCAACTTAGTGCAGTGTGTGACGCTGGGACAGTAGAAGGCGGAGAAACAAATGTAAGCTCGTTGAACAAAGAAAGAAGAAAAAAGCTAGGAGAAGGACCGTGAAAACGAAACTTTTCAGGTGTTCTTTCACTGCGGAGTTCTGCAGTGCAACCTACAAACAAAATACCAGCTCTTCCTAAGAAATAAAGAGAGCCACAAAGCATGTGGTTGTCGTTTCACCTCCGCCCTGGAGAAAACAAAATCCTTGACACCTGGCATCCGCTTTCTCCCGTCAACGGCACGGGGATATACGGGAGAGGGGGGGGGACAAAAAGCTCCTGTCGGACTGGC